CTCAACAGATAAAATTCATATGCCAAATTTGTTTTTTTTTTACTATTTATCGCAATTATTTTTTTTTTTTTTTTTTTTTTTTTTTTTGCTAATTTGAAATAAATTTCTTATCTTTTTTTTTCACATTGCATAGTTCATACATGTATGTCTTCTCCTATGAATCATCCCAAGAAAAATCATAAATATATATCAACATAAGTTAATTACTACTTACTATAGCGAAAAATTTTAATGAAAAAAAATAAATAAATAAATAAAAAGAAAATTATTATCGCAAATCCCGTTCGATATTATAAATCAAGGAATTAATATTTTACGTGTAGCATGTAAGACTAAAAAAAAATAAAATGCTGCAGTTATTATTGATTATTAGATAGCTTCATCAAAACATATATTTATTTTTTATCGTTAAGTTACAAATGCGTGATAATTCAGGCCTTTGTATATATGGCCTATTTGTTTAAGGCTTATTTAAGCTTTTTGTTTTTGAAAACGTAGTACTCAAATAAAAGAAGTCATTGCGTTTGAATTTTTCTAATCTATTTGAATAATTTATCTATCCTACAAAATTGCATTAATATATCATTTGGATACATTTAATTTTCTTTAGAATTTATCAACACATTACGTTAACAAATTTTGCCTAGTTTTGTTCGCAACTATAATAAGGATCATTTAGTACATAAATACTTACGAGCATTAAACGTAATTCACGATTATTTGGATGAACTTGTATTTGTAAGTACTCCTATTATAAATTAGTCTAATTTACGAAAAAAACAATTGTGTCACTACTGTTTGTTTTTACTATTAATAAATCTGATAATAATGCAATATAATTAATTGCATGATTAGAAAAAAAATTCCAAGAACGTCCGCAGCGAGGCACTGCATGCAAATGCATCTAGTGACATCTATGTAAACAAATCAAGAATTGTTTAACTCTTTAATTTAAATATTAGCAGAAATGCAAGGAAAAGTAACTACTTAACAGTATTTTTTTCTAAATTTATACAAAAATTAATCATTATATTAGTCTCTGTTAATTTGTATTATTCTGTGTTTATGTTATAAGTTTATAAAAAATATGTTTCAAAATGAAGACTGGAGTAGTGATGAGGTATGTAATTATAAAATGATTGTCCTCGTTTATTAAAATTATTAAGTAATGAATAGGACATCGATATAATATGATAAGTAAATAATATAGTTAATGTAAATCAAATATGTTTTAGGAATATTCGCAATATCTAGATGATAAAGCACGAGAGTTCTTCTCACAGGGTGAAAATGATGAAACAAAATTTCCTGCTAAAAAACGCAAATTAGATAATGAACAACAAAGTACAACGAGCAATAACAAAGAAGAGTCTAATATGATCGGCGTAGGATTTAACAGAAATCAAAAACAATGCTTTGAAAATACCATTTCTTCAGAAAATGATGGAAATATACAAAGTTCGAGAAGGAAAATGGTTCTTGATATTTTTTTCAAAAAAAATGCCCAGAATGTAACAGATAGTACTGATAGTGTTTCTAATACTTTTGTGCCTACTCGTTCTCGAAGTGAGAATATTCTAAATAGAGAGAAAAGCAAAGGTGATTGTAATGACTCGGAAATCAAATTACAAAAATCAAATTCTTATACAAATAAAAGTCTTCTTGATAACGCAGTTTCTGACGTAAACGAATACAATGAAAAATCAATCATAAGAAAAGATAATAATAAGGAACAAGAAGAATTAGAAAATATTAAAGAACAAATAAATGAAAAGATTAACGATAATGTACAGGATATATCTCCAAATTCAAGAAAATCTTTATTAATGCAACATTTAAAGCCTTCTACTTCATCTAGTAAAATATTCTTAAATGATACGAAGTCTTCATCTTCTATATTTAACATCGAAAAACAGTCTAACAAGAAAACAACTCTTGTAAGAAAATTTCCAGGACCGGCTGGATTGTTACCAGATTTCATTGACTCTTCTACACTTTCAACTTCAGATTTAATAAATGTAGAAGACAGTAAAGATGAAACCGTACAAGATCAGAAAGATAATAGCTTAGCAAAGTATTGTTCTCAGAATACAAAATCTTTATTTTCAGAAGGTGCTTGGCAAATAATGTTAAATGATTTACCTGCAGAATTTCTGAAAAATTACCAAATAGCAGAAATTAAAAAAATTGCTAGTGCAAATCAGCATCAGTCTATTAAAATACCATTTCTTGCAGGCATAATAGAAAGTATAGATTATAGTCATGAAAATCCTCCTATCATATTAAAAGACTTTACAGATCAAATTGAAGGAACTCTACATGCAGATATTCCTGCTAAATATCCTGGAGCTTTCGACAAAAATGTTGTCATTTTATTACAAAATGTAGGATTATTATGTATTTCAGGAACGTTTATTATACATAAATATCATATTCTAATTTCGCCTTCAAATTTATTGGCAATTTATTCTCATGTAGGAGATATTATACGTACACCGCATATGGAACTTTTAAAGAACAAATTCTCCATGACTAATGAATTTAATTCGACAAATTTATCTCCACTTCAAGATAATAATTATGAAATAGAAGAAAGTAGTTGTAATAATATAGATATTAGTCAAGAAGATATTTTATCCTTTGAGAAAGATGACAAAAAAACTTGTAAAAATCAAAATCTATCGCATAATTTTAATATAGACACAGATAGTAATGAAAAATCTTCATTGCCATTGCTGCAAACATTTTCTGCAAATACAAATATAGTACAAAATAAAGACAATATAAAAATTGCTGCTGCAACCTGTACAAATAAATCCTTACAAAATATTGACAAAATAACGATAAACAAAAATATAGTAGGCTCAAAAAGCAATGTTTTAGTAAAAGAAAATAAAGAAAATTTAATGAAACATAATGATAGTTTGTCTGTAGAGGTCCCAACAGACGCTTCTTCAAAATATTTTGCAGATCAAAATACAGATTGTAGTGATAATAGAGAAAATAACAAGAACAAATGTAAACTATCCAGATTGGAAAAATTAGCGAGTTTTAAAAGTAAATATGTTTTAACATTGGAAAAATCAATTCCCGGAGATAATGATGTGCCTAGTGAAAACGTGGTAAAAAATAATAATAATAAATTAGATAATAAACAAACGACATCGATCGACGATAATTGGGCTGCAAATATATTTTGTGATAGCAATAATGATTCCGATGATGAAATGTTATCGCAATTAGATGTAGACAGTATATCTACTTTTACCTAAAAGAAAATTAAACATTTATTATGTCAATTATTTCCATTTCAAATAATTACGCATTTAAAAATTTAGGAAACATATTTATTTGGTATTTGTATTGTATAAATCTTTTGTTTTCATATGTATTAAACTTTTCTACTAATTAGTATTACGATTATAATAAATAATGCTCCTATGTTATTATAACATATTAATTTGTCAGCAATATCATTTTATGTGATTGCTCTTTTTTATAATAGTATATATTTAGGTAATATATAAATTGTCGGTTTTATACTTGTACATAAAATATATAATAAAATATATTTCCATCACGTAATATCAATTTAAATAATTAATATTGTTAATCGCGTTTTTGATCACAGGTATATAATTTATAAAACAACAATAATTCTTTCGATTAAATTTGATTCGCGCATTGACCAACAACAGTTAATGTATTCGTCTGATTCTAATCACGCCTCAAAAACATTTGAGAAGAATTCGATTAGACGACGCGATTCTAATATGAAGACTTCTTCGCACATTTTATTTCTAAATCTTTCTGGGAATAACATTTTGATAAAAAGATATCAGATAAAATTGAATAACGTACTTTTTATTTTCCGGAGTAGATCGCTTTGGCAAACAACAACTCGTATCCTTGTAAAAACGAGTATTTAACTTGTCTTGCATAATAAATTTATCGTGATCGCGATCGATTCGAAAGGTTTTTAACAGATAGTATTATCGAGTTGGATATTGTGTAAATTATAACATATCGTTTATTGATTAAATTTTGATTCGATGAAACACGTTTAACATAGAAATTAAAAGATTTAATTGTATCGCTTATTTAAATCTTTCCAATAGGGGCCACCCCCTTTCTCGCTATATAATTCTTTTCCATAAAATATAATATTCGATTTATTCTCATATTAAATAACCTACTTCAAATTTTTAATGTAGATAAATTATAGTTGATAATAGTTACTGTTTGATATCCCACGACATAATCGGGGAGCATCAAGGTTGATCCAATAGATCAGTCCAGAGTATTGGTATAACCTTCCTTGCCTTGCAGAGAAGGGAATCCAGTTCATGGGTCTTCTGTATTCGTATTTCCTACATCCGCGATTAAGTGGGGTACCGATTCAGGCCAATATCAGGAAAATTGAGATCATTCATCGACGCTATAATAAAATTATACTTAATTGATATCGATCATCTTATCTATATATTATTTTTTCCTATTATTACCAAGTGAAACAAATTTAATCTTTATACATTACTTTTCATTGAAATATAATATATATGACAAACATTTTGGACGAGTTAAAGGTGCTAATTAAATATCGTTTAATCGAACTTTCCATTATTATTATCGTCTGCGAAATAATAAATACAATTACAATGTTGTTTCTTCTAAAATAAAAATATAAATATTTCTCAATCAAACGACGATGCGTAAGTTGACAAATCCTTATTTCGACAGAGTAAGAAACATTCAAAATGAAAAATAGAGACAGATAAAAAGAGAAAGTAAAAGGATTATTCGTATTCTAGCGAAGAAAATATAAGGAAGTAAGGTATTTCATTTATAATTTTTTAATGGGACAATCTTCCAAAATGATATGGATTAAATTAGATAGCTCGCACATTATTATCGACGATAGGGAAAAAACTTGATTATTAATGTTCGAGCAAGATGAATAAGACGTTTAAATGCATGTTTAGCATAAAGTACCGTTATTGTAATAAAAAGAGAAATAAGATTGCAACTTCCATGAAATAATAATCGCATATCGTTCTCTCGGAAATATAAATATATACATATACGAACAAATCAAGGATTCGATCCTTTCACGTGCGCGCTTGTGCACTCTGGTTACGACACTATATGTATATATATATATATATATATATATATATATATAAT